ATTGTGATACTTACTAGATCCAGGTTGTTTAGTGTATTTTAGTATTGTATATAGCAATAAGGTAACGTATATTCACTTTTATACCTATCCTACAAAATCATGCCAGTTAACAGGTCAGGCTAATGTCATGAAGAATTAGCATTTTCAACAAGAGTTCTCTCACTTAATCAGAACGCGTTTGCTAAATCACTTCAATTCAGTTAAGTCTGATAATTTTTTGTATTTCCTGCAAATCTGTCAAAATCGAAGAGTGTAAGGTAGTTTTGAAAGAAAGAAGTATTTACGAATATACAGTGAATTTTGTTGGGTTAGTGGGACAGATGTTCTGTTGAAAACAGGCTTCTTGTCGTCAATTGGTCAAATGTGATTTTACGAAATAAGTTTTCGAAATTGGCCTGCAATTGCAAGAATACAAAAATGCTCAGATTGTTACCAGTGCACGAGGTGTTGGTGTGACTACGAGGAACACCTGTGCCCAAAATAGTATGCCATAAAAGAGGTCAAACAAGGTTTATTTTTGACAAAGGTAACGATGGAATTCTGTAAATAAACACCCGATGCGAAGAACAATATCCAAGAATTTTAAAGAAGGTCCCTAATCACGAAATGAGAAGTGTGAGGGTCAATAAACAGTGTTGGCGAGCTGCTTATGGTGTTGGGATTGTCTTTTCTGATGACCATAACCCAAAGCTACTCGGTTATTAAACTATGTACCTCTCCACTCGTATAACCTTCAACCTTTCCATCTACAGCAAAATGCTCAGCAGATCACCGAATACCAGTCCATGTATGTAACTTACCTATGTTGTTCCTACCCACTAAGCAAACTATTGTAATTTTCTCTGGTTCTCTTGTTAAATTATTATCTTACAGATTTTCTTAGAACAAAAATAATTCAATAATCATTTCTAGTCACAGTTACATGACATGAAAAATGACTGGTTTGATTTGTTTTAATGACGTGTGCAAAAAAGGGAAAAAAGAAAAAGACAGTTATATGTTCAGTTTATTTTGGGTTTCTACATAGACTTTGGTTTTCGATATCTTTATTTTCAAAAATTAATTAAAAATATCAAAATGTACGCGTAAAATACATACTATTAGTTCATGTCTCACTTCTAATCACAGAGAAACATGTCCTTACTGTTGACTATTATTTTAATATTTAATGATTATTTAGTTTTCATGACAAGAATGTTAAAATGTAATTATTTTAAAAGCGATAGTTACAACAAATTTTGTTACGTAACTCTGTACGAGTCGTACATTGTGTATGCAGTTTAATTGTTGTATTAAGCTTTTGTAATACTGTTGACGTCATCTTACTCGAAGCTTCTAGGTTTTTCTCGTTATGTGAATATTGCTGTCACTAGAGGGTTAGATATTTCTAGATTTTTCTGTCGCATGTTATAAATACGCGAAGATACACAGTGCAAGAAAAATTTAAAGTAAGTTAGTAAAAGTTAAGTTACTGAAAGCGAAGTTAGACTGCTTGATTGTTAGTTTAACAGTAATGGGCAATATCTAAAGTGAGTTTCACAGTGATATAATAACAACAAATATAAAGAATAATAATATGTCTTGTCAAAGTATGTTTTAAAGTAATTGAACTCGCCTGTGTGGACTTTGATAAAAAAAAAAAGTTTGGCTTGAATTTCGTGCAAAGCTACACGAGGGCTATCTGCGCTAGCCATCCCTAATTTAGCAGTGTAAGACTAGAAGGATGGCAGGTAATCATCACCAATTACCGCCAACTCTTGGGCTACTCTGTTACCAACGAATAGTGGGATTGACCATCTCATTATAATGCCCCCACGGCTGAAAGGGCGAGCATGTTTGGTGGGATGAAAAAGAGACAGGTATTTAAAGCTCTAGATACTGCTGTGATAACCAAAAGTGTAACAAAGTTCTGTACATAAGTTTGACTTGTTTTGAATATATTAATTTATCGCCAACAAGTCACACACACCTACTGTAAAGAATTCGACCCACATAAAATTGACATTCGGTGAGCTAACCAGGATTATACAGTGGTAAACGGTAGTAGAAGAAGATGTAAACAATAGCGGAAGTAGGCCTATATACACACAAATAGTGTAGAGATCACAATCACGCTCTTTATCCATGTTAGCAGATTTTGATAAATGAATAGAAAGAGGTGAGTGTCTTGGGCTCAAAGACAGTGAACTACGAAAGTTTGTTAAACAACAACAAGATCCAGAGAGAGAAGAAAATAGGCAGAGAGGAGAGGAAGAAAGACTGAAAGAAGAAAAGGAAATAGAAGGACTGAAAGAAGAAAAAAGTAGAGACTTGAAATAGGGAGAATGAGAATGCAATTTGAGAAAGGAAAGAGAGAGGAGAGACTGGAAATAGAGAGAATAAGAGCACAAATCGAGATCTCCAAGCTCATCCAACAGAAAGAGGAAGGCCCGTAGAATAACAATGGGGTCAGGGCCAGCCGACCCAAGCTACTCAAATTTGATGAACGGAAAGATGACATGGATGCTTTCCTGGAAAGATTTGTCCAAAGCCAGAAGTGGGATAAAGGCGACTGGGCAGTCTGTCTTACCCACTTCTCACAGGAAAAGGCCTAAAAGTGTATGCAGGCATGACATCAGAAAATGCCATGGGCTATGTATGACAAGTTAAAAGTGGCCTTACTGAAACACTATGAATTTACCCAAAAAGTTTTTCGTTGGAAGTTTAGAAAAGTCAAACCTAACACTGAAGAAACTGTATTCCAGTTTGTGCCACGTCTACAGTGATACTTCACAAGTTGGACTGGCATGGCCAAGTGTGAAAATAGTTTTGAGGGACTGGCAGATCTACTAATACATGAACAGTTCATGATCATGTGTTCAACTGGCATGTCACCGTTCCTAAAGGAGAGAGCACCAAAAGACGTGAATGAGATGATCAAGCTGGTAGAAGAGTATATGGAAGCCCATGAAGGGAGTATAACTGGCAAGTCCAAGAATAAGCATTTAAAGTTGAAACCAAGGGTGGCTGTTGTTGCTTGTTGGTAATAAACTTGCACTTCTTTGCAATATGTCCTATTTTATAAAAAAAATATAGCATCTCTTTTGTCCACTGAGTTCTTGTCACTTTTTGGGTATCCTGTTTCTGTTCAGAAGTATCAACATAAAGCAGCTGGAGCTACCTAAAAAGATGGGGATGGCAAAAAACAAGAAAAGAGTGACTATTACCATGGATACTGCTGCCAGAAGAAACAGAATCAGGATAACCCATCAAATCTACCACAAGAAGGAAGTGTTATTTCTATGAGTAAACAACGCATGACTGATGGTCAACCCAAGTTAGCCAGTGGTGATTGCAGTATGTGACAAACATCAAGAGGTGCCAACAAATCACAATATGCCAGTAGGTGAAGGCTATATCGGGAACAAGAATGTAAAAGCTCTGTGAGACACTGGGTGCAGCATTGAGAACCAGTCTAGTATCTGATGATCAGATGATGGGCAAGGTACATCTGTGTGTACTGATTGATGGGACAGTGAGAAAGTTACCCGTAGCAAAAACAAAGGTGGATACTACACGCTCTATGGCAGACCTTGAGGCCATGTGTATGAAGGTACCCATCTATGACTTATTGATTGCAAATATACCAGGCAGTAGAAGTTTGGAGGAACCAGACAGAAAGAAGATGGATGAAGCACCTGCACTCACTACTAGAGCTCAAGAAAAGAAGAGCAAGCAAATTATCAAGCCTCTGCAATTATCAAATGGCAGCATCCCGAATGTAGCTCGACAGGAACTGAAGAAAGACCCTTCACTGCAGAAACTTTGGGGCAGTGCCCGGGAGATAGTCGAGCACAAGACAAAGGGGAAAGGAGCTTACAGAACAGAGGACCAAAATGGAGAGCTGTACAGGATCTATCAAGGCAGTTATACTGGGGAAGTTAAACAGATCATAGTACCAACAGAATACCAGACTCAAGTGATGAAACTGGCTTACAAGTTGATTGTAGGAGAACACCTAAGAATAAAAATGACGGCAGACAGAATCACGAGCAACTTCCATTGGCTGGGAATAATCAGAGATGTAAATAGATTCTGCAGGTCATGCAACACCTGCCAAAGGACAATACCTAGAGGGATGGTAGTCAAGGTGCTGCTGGATGAAAAGCCTATCAGAGAAGAGCCATTCAGCAGAGTAGTTATGGACTTGATTGGACCACTGACACCTGTTTCTGACAAGGGCAACATATACGTGCTGACAGTAGTTGACTATGCAACATGTTATCCAGAAGCCATAGTACTGCCGAAGATAGAAACGGAGAGAGAGTAGTATAAGCTCTCTTGGAAGTATTCTGCAGAGTAGGCTATCCAAAGAAAGTCCTGATTGACAAGGGACCCAGTTTACTTCAGGACTAGTACAAGAAGTGTGCAGACTCATCAGTACTAGGCAGCTCTTTAACACCCTGTGCAACCCTAGATGTAATGGATTTTGTGAGAGAGTTAATGGTGTCTTAAAGAGCATGCTGAAAAAGATGTGCCAAACAAACACCCACTGTAAAGAATTTAGCCCACATAGATCTGACACTTACATTTTCTTGTCTTCCAGTAACATATTTAAACGTTGAAAGCTTTATGTATTTTATGAGATTTAATATATACTGGTGGTATGTGTTAATAAATAATTTTAATGGTGGCTGAATTAGTATAATTATTTATGCCTTCTATTTTGATATTCCTATCTTTATTTAAAAAGAAATATTTGATAATACCACTAACTTATTCTAAAAGCAGAACAGGCTTGCATGACCATAAAAAAAAAGAGAAACATTGGTAACATTTAAATCCTTTTACGTTGTCAAGTATGTGTTAACAGTTTTTGCCACACCAGCAAGTCTGAGAGCTTATTAACGCTAAAAATTGGGTTTTGATACATAAGATGGGCACATCATAGATAGCTTTGTGCTTAAGAGTAAAACAATTGTGTATTACCTGAAATAAGTCACCATATGAATATGAAGAACACAGCTTTATTTAAACTTTATTGTGAGACTGTTTACACATTTTTCTTAACCTAACAAGTTATTTTCTTTCAATTCTACATTGCTGCAAATGAGGTTTAAAATAAGAGATACAGAATGTTTTGTGCTCTTAAATACTGTGAAACTAATTTCATAAATATGAAAAAACTATGAGAAGTTAAAGGAAAAAGCTATTTGAAGACAAAACATTTTAACACAACTTTAGAAAGTGTACTTACCACTAAAGCAGCACCTACCAACATCCTTAGGTAAATAATTCATACTGATGAACTTAAAAAATACTATTTATCATAAAGCTAAAACACTTAATAAACAGTATATTAATCATTCTGGCCTATAAAGTCTTACTGTAGATTTTGAGAAATGTTACATCCAAAGCTAAAATTTAGAACGAAATTAAGAAAAGTTATAAAAAATACATTAAATCTTGCAGACAAATTAACAGTTTTCCAGATAATTAAAACAAATCTAAGTCTTATAATATTGCTATGAGAACTTCTACATTGCAAAGGTTTTTACAGAAAAATTAAACATCAATTTTATCAAGTTTTCATATGTTCCCGCTTTGCAAGTTCTAACTATTTTGTATAATACATATTAAATATCTTAAAAGAAAAAAACTAACAATAAAAATACTTAATTACCATTAAAATATGTAACTAAACAAAAGTGCAAAATAAAATTGATAAAATTGTTACTACTACTCCTACTGGTGAACAATACAGAAAATCACAACACCAGGAAATTTTACAGCAATTACTATATCAACACGATTCAACTACCATCAAAAGCCAAGAACAATGCATACTTGTTAAATTTAAAGTGTTACTTACTTCTCTAAAGTTTTCTCATAAAAATAAAATTTAAACACAAAACTGTATATACTATATATATATATATATATTCACGTATAACTATCGACAAACTACAGCTTATTGTCTAAAGATAGTTTCTTTTTTTCATCTGGCATACAATAACAAAACGTCAAACAAATAGTGTTCTTTCCTTAATATATTTTGAAAAATTTATATCAAACTGAAATATTAATATATAATTAAGAAAATATTCACAAAACAATGGTCACTAAAGAGCATTAATTATATCAAAAATTAAAAAAATTCAGATCTAAAACTATCAATTGATGGAAAGCTAATATAAAACTTTTTGTTTCCCCCATGATATCCTAAATAAATGGGGATTTCTGCATAACTTCCAAAATAATAATAACCATATCAAAAAGTCTTGTACTGACAAGTAACAACTGAAGTCAGTTCTTTTTTTTTTATGGAAAAACAAAAAGTTGTGACAACAGACTAGGTTTCTTTGATGTGTATGAAAATAACATATAAAATTAATTTTGTATATCTATAACAAAAAAGAGACAACAAAACAATTTGGCCATAGCAAAGAATAGTAAATAACAACTTGAAACATCATGAGCCATAGAGACAAGTTACAGCTCCTTGTATAACCTGAACTACAACCCAAGTAGTGTTAATGTTCTTATTCCTGATGTAACATTGCGAGTTGGTTTCTGTGTTTCATGGATAAGAGGGTTTATGAATCTCTAGACAGAAGGCTCTACCAACCATGAGATGAAAAAAGAAAAGTTGACACCAGTGAAAATTCCTAGAATTAGGAAAAAGGCTCCCATCATTCCAGCAGTGGAGGCATGCTCTCTGTCAACACATCTGGAAACCAAAACAATTAATATTTAAGTTTATCGTAAATGACTTTAATGCAAATGAATAACAGTTAAAGCTATCATGCTGTATATATATTTTGAGATAAAAAAATTATATATTTCAAACAATTACTTAAAGGAAAATTTAATGTATATTTTGAAAATTAAATATTCAGAATTTTATAATCAGACTTTCTCAAAGATAAAAAAATTATTTTCACACTACAATGACTCCCATTCCTTGATCTGATTATATAAGTTTGCTTTAATAAAATGTTTTCATATCGATTTTAATATTAATGATTTCTAAAAAAATCACAAAATTAAAATTAAAACAGGCAAGTTAACAATTATATAGGCTATTTCACATTATGGTTTTACATGCAACCACAATTATAGTTAACTACTTAACTTTGCATGATGACAAAAATTATTATACATCATATTAATAGGTAAATGTTAATTTTATCAGCCTTTTTAAACTTTGACGCATTCTAGTCTTTAAAATTATGTTGAAATTAATGCTTTATGTTGTAAATAATTATGTACTGTTCCTGTATGCTTGAGGAATGAAGAAATGACAATAACAAATTCCTAAACTTTTTGGTAGGACCTATTGTACATACCACATTAGATCCATAATAAAAGATAGTGCATTTGCTGTACCACTTTCTTATGGTGCTTCTGGAGTACGCTCCTAAACATTCTAGTATATGCAAATCATTGAAGTTGTTTAGTAACACTTTTTTCAGTCATTAATATATTATATATACACACACACAAAACAGGATTCATCACACAAACCTCAAACTATGAGACAAATAAGTTTTTCTGCGTATGTTGTTTTAAAATACTACTAAAAACGCTTCATACCGTGGAGCATACATCATAGCCAGACTACTGTAATAACCACTAGTCAGTCCATGTAGTACGGAAACAACAATATAGGCCCATTCATTTGAGATGAGAACTGGAAGAGATCTTTTATGTGGCTTGTAGTTACAAAACATGAAGTATGGTACAGTTAAAGCCCTTATGACTACTGGGATCCAAAGAAAACGTGGTCCAGGCTGGTGAAAAACATTTAAAATTACCAAAGAATGAACTTAGTATAAGCACTTTAAATCTTCTACGTATTACTTGTGAAAAAATTAGAATTTTAAAATAATCAATTACAAATTACTTAATAATTATACACATACATTTTAATTACATCTTAAAATTTGAAAAAAAATCTCCTTTACCAGATATGATATATAAAGTAGTTTTATCTATTTTCTATAAATTATTGTCTCACTAATGTTTCTTTAAATATCAGTTTTTGCTATTTGCCTTTTTTTAAATTATGATTGTTATAACTAAATAGCTTGAATTGTACAAAATGCTTGACACAAAATTTGTTCTTTACAAATGCATGTGTGCCTTAAAATGCTCAAGACAATTCTATTTTGTAGTATGCTATCATTTTACCACAAACTACAGTTTTATAACAATGAATAACTGTGTTTTGAAAAGATGTAATTAAATTTGTACTACAGTTAAGAACTCATTATCAGCATCAAATAGATGCTTTTGGAGCATACATGTATGCTTTTCTTGTCTGTTACTTATAATTACCTTTTCTAAAGTAGCTACTTTTTTAAATACATATGTACATAATACATGTTATTTATCATTCTTGATTACATACAAATTATCCTGACTGGTATATTTGTTATTAAATTTTTTTTACTTCTCCATTTTAAAACGAAAACATACTCATAAGAGATCTAAATAAAAGAAAAATCTAGACTATACTACATTCTCCCTAAAAATGAAGAAACAATTATACATTAGTAAAAAAAAGATGTCAACATTAACAATGCTTTAACTTTTTAAAAGTTATGTCCTGGTAGTTTACGTTAACAAACAGACCTGGTTAATGAATTACACAAGCAAAAGATTAATGTGACATTTAAAAGGTAAAAATAATGAGTAGAATTGTGTACCTGTGATTCAAGTTTTAAAACATTGTATATAACACATGAAATATTAAAAGAGCTTAAGAAGATGGATCTAATGATGCCTCAGTTGCACCAAAGTTTCATCAACTTTACACCCATTCAAAAAGCACTCTACAGCAACACTTCTTCTAACAAGATTTGACAAACAAAACACCTGAATGGATAATAATTACTCCAGTGCCCTAGGTTAATAAGAAATTATCTATTATGACAAACAACGTTACTGGTTGGTGTAGTAATAATACTTATGCAAAAGATCCATGTTAATAAAAAGATATTATTCTCTTTGTAAAATGAGATTATTTGGTGGTACAAGTAATACTTACTCAAGTGCTCCAGGTTAATACGATCTGATCAACTAGTGTAAATAATTATTATAAATGAATAGATTTAGAAATAGTACTTACCCAAGTAATCCAGTTTGGAAATATGTTACCAATCATGGCAAATAAGTTGAAACATAAGAAGCAGCAAACAGGAGCAAAATATGTGGCTGTAAATGAAGCATGTAATAAAATAAGATGATAAGTCTAAATTCAACAATGTAAAAAATACATAACAACAATTTGTTTAAAGTTTAACTTTGAAAGGTAACAAATGATAAAAAATATATACAATTCAAATGAATCTTCACATGTTAATACTTTATTTAGAAACAAGCATAATTACTTATTTATAGCTAATACCAGAAAATTCAATATAATATTCCAAATAATTTATCTCAAAACAGCAATAAAAACAGTTTAGAGCAACAACAACAAAAAACAGACAAAATGACAGTAGGTTTTTGGGTTACAGTTATGAGGATAATGGAAACTCAACAAACATTTAAAACTTACTCATCTCCACACAATATTCAAAAGTCAATATTATTTCTAATTAAGATTGATCTGCTTACACAACTACACATCTCATAAACAAATACGTAAAAACTCTACCATACCAAATAAAAACTTTCTTACTCCCAAAACCTAAAGTAAAAGAAATCTGATAAATGCCCTCAATTTACACCTTTAAAAGAACAGATGCACATAGGTAGTTCTATGAAAAATTTGGAACTGAATTAATAAATAAAGGACCAAAGGGTTTATTGATGAAATAAATCCCTGATCAACATTAGACCTCATTTTGAAGTAAATATTTCTACAAATTCTTTTTCTAATGCACGCATCCAATACAACACAATATATTGTTTATTTGAGGCATACTGGGATATGCTTTGAAATGATCCCTTGCAGTTTTAAGGCCTTTTTTGGGGATTAGTATCCATTACAAAGGTAAGCATCAAGTACTATAGAATGGTGGTCATTGAATAAGTTCTTAATTGCTTAATCATTTCAGTAGGCTTGCATCTATAGCTCTAAAGATGACAGTATGAAAGTGATATTTTAACCAACTGAAAAACAACCAATAAAGAATTAATGAAACAAAATTCTAGCTAATGACAGGATTCTGAAGAAATCTCTCCTATACTTGTGCTGCATATGTAGCAGTGTTATTTAATGTACCATACTTGAGTTTGTTAAGAATTTCATTATATTACTAGAGGAGAAATTCTCCTTGGAAATGGAAGTTTTAGGAGAAAAGTTGTAAAATTGTTTTCAATTCAGTGTCTCATATTTACTAAACTAACATATTTCTCAGTTATGAAAATGTAGAATGGAACAATACTGAAGACTTGATCAAAAATGTGTCTTATTATTTTTGTATACATACACCTAATTCAACAAGAACTATATTTGTATATAGTGCCTTAGATATCCATATGTATGCATTCTTAGTAATTGAAAACATATTAATTTACATCCAAAATACTAAGACAATGTATGAAATTCTAATAATGACATATTAATTATATCTGTTACCAAGGTCAAATCCAAAATTCCAAGTATGTACTGTATGCAAGTGTATACACTAAGGATTGAAGAAAACAAATGTGCATAAATTTATCCTGTATTTAACAGGTATAGAATCCCGAAAAGTTCAAAAATTGACTTTCAACCTAGGGCTCTAGCTAACACAACCTAAGTTTATTTGGAAGTCAAACCTGCATGACTCTAAGTCACTTTCACCTTAATCACTTAAACTCAAAATCTATCAGAATATTTAAAATTCTTATACAGATATACTAAAAACTTTGTTTTTTTGTATACTTTAACAATATCAGCTGGAAGAAGTGTTTTTAATAAAAGCAATTCCATTATTTCCCTTATTTTTGAATGTCTATAATATTTGGAACAATTCAGTTGTTTTGGATGAATAATATATATTTTCCTCATAATTGTCTTTAAGTGTTAGTAGAATCAGTACATTTGTAATGAGGTTTTAACTAAACATGTTTTTTTTTATATTCTCTATAATTAGAGATATTTAGATAGAAATTACAATTATTTTCATTATAAACTCTTCAACATTACTTACTTGCACTTTTTGATATTCTAAAACACTATAAGATGTTTTACCAGTTATAACAAATGAGCCAAAATCTAAACATTATATCTGAGGTATTGCAAGTTTTTAATGTCTCATCAGCTTAAGCATTTTATACCATTATAAAATCTGAACATCAATTTGTTTTGCATGTTGAATTTCTTAGGCCTAATGCACCTTCTTTGCTATGTTAGATGATAGGCACTTGATATTACTACAAAATCTGAGCATATTTTCTACTTACAGGAAATGAAGAAATCGGGGCTGCTAGCCTGAATATTGGCTAGTACTGCAGGGAAGTTTGTTAAAGTTACAAAAAAAACAAAGAAAACATTGAAACATTGTGGCCAGGCCTGCAATGAAAAAAACAACAACTAATGATATACAAAAGTCTGATTATTAACTGACAGTCAGATTTAAATAGATTTTACTTTCTTATCAGCTTAAGTTGTCACAAAAATATCACTTTATGTACAAAGAAATTGTTTTGCTATGTGAAAAACATCATATATATATATATATACACACACACACACATATGTACACACGCATATATATGAAATATAATGAAAAAGAAAGAAGATTAATGCGTGAAAAAATACATTATTAATCATTTTAATGCTTCTTTAAATTTTAGATATACCTTCAGTATATTGTTGACAAATTCCAAAGAAACTTTAGCATTATTCAACAAAGCAATCAAAGCATTTTTCAAAAATATCTGTAGTCTATAGGATTTTGGTAGGATATTATAGTAATTTTATTGTTACATTAAAGATAATTTAGTGTTGATGTTAATTTAAGGACTTTTTAATTAGGTTTTGATTTGAAACAATAGTAATAAGATAAAAAACTAAGGTTACAAAATATGTTAAAAAATCCTTAAAAAAATGAAAATATAAAATTTATAAACATTTAATTGTAAAAAC